AGCCACCCAGGTGCCCCTAATTCTTGACTTTTAATTGAGCATTTAGTTGGAATAATCACCTATATTGAGGCTTAAAAATCCCATGTTACCATTCACTTCCTATTTGTGTCATTGTTCTTTCTCTCTCTTTTTTTGCCTTCTTTGGATTGGTTGAGTATATTTTATTGTTTCATTTCCATCTCCCCTTCCTCAAACCTCATTCCACCCTCTGCCCATTAGCTTGGTATACATTCTTTTAGTGGTTATTTTAGAGATTACAATATGCATTCTTCATTTAACACAATATATTATAAATTGGTTCTTTTAATTCTTTGCAGACAATGCAAGAACTCTGGACACTTATATTTACACACACATTTATACTTATATTCCCAATTTATACACTACTGTTGAATATTTTAATTTTCTCTCTATTAAACCCTACAAGGCATTATTACTAATGTTGCTTTATGTAATCATAGTTCCCAATACTACCCATTTCCCCACATCTGTACCGTTCAATTGCTCTTAATTCCTCTCTGTCTCTCTGAGCTTCCATGTGGAATCATTTTCTTCCTGACAGAAGAACATCTTTTAGTATTTCCTTTGGTTCAGATATGCTGGTGATGAGATCTATATTTTTGCCTGTAAAAAAAGTGTCTTTATTTTACCTTCTTTCTTGAAGGATGTTTTCATTGGATAAAGAATTCCAGGTTGTTAGTTATTTTATTTTGACACTTTAAAGATATTTGATTGTATTCTGATTTCTGTTGAGAAATCAGTAGTCAGTCTAAGGTTTGCTCCTTTGAAGTTGATCATTTTTCCTCCTCTGATTTTAAAATCTTCTCTTTGATTTTCTGTAGTTAGTCCTATGATATCTCTCAATATGGTTTTCTTTTTATTTATTTTATGTGGGTGTTTTTAGGGATACTTGAATCTATGGTTCAATGTCTTTCAGTAGTTTTTGAAAAATGTCACTTATTATTTCTTCAAATGTTGCATTTGGTAAATCCTTTCTCTTCTGGCTGGGTCCACAGTACACATATGTCACTCCTTTTCACTCTGTCCATCTGTTGCTTATGTTCTGTTTAGTATTTACCATCCTTGTGTCTCTCTAAGCATCTTGTTTTGGATATTTCCTTATCTAACAGTTCATTCTTTCTTCAGCTGTGTCTATTCTGCTGTTAAACCTTGCTACTCAATTCTTTTTTTTTTTTTTTAAAGATTTTATTTATTTATTTGACAGAGAGAGACACAGCGAGAGAGGGAACACAAGCAGGGGGAGTGGGAGAGGGAGAAGCAGGCTCCCCGCAGAGCAGGGAGCCCGATGCAGGACTCGATCCCAGGACCCCGGGACCATGACCTGAGCCGAAGGCAGTCGCTTAACCAACTGAGCCACCCAGGCGCCCATTGCTACTCAATTCTTAAACTCCCATCGCATTTTTCAGTTCTAGAATTTTAATTTGCTTCTCTTTTATCATTTTTAGTTCTCTGCTACAATGCTCAGTTTAAAAGAATTTCCTCCAACATATTCAGAATACTTAGTCTGATAGCTTCTATTATCTGGATCCCTTGTGGCTCTGTTTCTGTTGTTATCTTGTTTTGTTTTGTTTTTTAATCATACTCTCTTGTCTTCTCATGCACTCGCTAATTTTTATTGTGTACAGAATATTGTGTTTGAAAATTTGTAGAGATATTTTGAGATCCAGGATGATATTATGCTCCTCCAGAGAAAATTTTTTTTTGCTTTTGGCAGATTGCTAGGGTATATGATCAGTTCCAGATATTCTTAAATCTAGTTATAGGGATTGAGATATTTTGAAGCAGGGTACAGTCCCTGAAAGAGCTGGACTATTTCTTGTTTATTCTTACTCTTAGGTGCTGACCTAAGGAGTCCTGACCCAAAGAACTAGGGGTTTATCAGGGCTTCTCCTTTTTGGCAGTCATTGAACTCCACATTTTGTCCCTCTAGTTCCTCAAAACTATCAAATCTCTACTCACTAGGGTCAAGTGGTGGGGGAGTTGGTGTGGCTATATCTTTAAAAATAAGTAGTGTGAAGGATCTTCGTGGTGATTTTATATTTTGAATGTGGTGGTGATCACATGAATTTACACATGATAAAATTGCATGGAACTAAATACACACACACACATACATGAGTGAATGTTCAACTGGTGAAATCTGAATAAAGTTGGTGGATTATATCAATGTAAATTTTCCAGCTGTGATATTGTTGTGTTGTTATGCAAGATGTTATCATTGGTGAATCTGGATGAAGGATACATGTCATCTCTGCATTATTATTTTTTTATGTGATAAAATATACATAACATAAAATTTACCATTTTAACCATTTTTAGGTGTTCAGTGGCATGAGTACATGAACACTGTTGTGCAGCCATACCCATTGTCCATTTCCAGATTTTTTCATCATCCCTAACAGAAACTCTACCCATTAAATAACAAGTCTCTATTCCCCCTCTCTCTATTCTACTTTCTGTTTCTATGCATTTGCCTACTCTGGGTACCTAATATAAGTGGAAGCAGACAAGATTTATTTTTTGTGTGTTTGGCTTATTTTATTTAGCATAATCCTTTCGAGGGTCATCCATGTTTTAATATGTATCAGAATCTCATTCCTGTTAAAGGTTAAATATTTCCTTGTATGTCTATACTACATTTTGCTTATCTATTCATCTGTTGGTGGACATTTGGGTTGTTTTTTTACCTTTCAGCTATTGTGAATAATGCTGTCATGAACATTGGCATACAAATATCTATTTGAGTCCCTGTTTTAAATTCTTTTTGTTTATACCTGTAAGTGGAATTGCCAGATCCTATGATAATTCTATATCTAACTGTTTGAGGAACTGCCAGACTGTTGTCCACAGCAGCTGCACTTTGCACAGGGGTCCAATTTCTCCACAATCTCACCAGCACCTGTTATTTTCTGTTTTTGATTTTGTTTTGTTTTCATTTTTTTGACAATAGTCACCCTAGTGGGTGTGAAGTAGTATCTCATTGTGGTTTTGATTTGTATTTCCCTAAGGACTAATGATGTTGAGCATCTTTTCATGTACTTATTGGCCATTTGTATATTTTGTATATATTTGTATATTTTTGGCAAAATGTTTATTCTAGTTTCTTGTATATTTTGTATATATTTGTATATTTTTGGCAAAATGTTTATTCTAGTTTATTCTAGTTTCTTGCCCATTTTTTAAATCAATTGTTTATTTTTCTGGATTATTTCATGCCAATCTGCAGTGATCTGAAGATTAAAAAGTTTAATAAAAAAATTCTTTCATTTTCTCAGCCTTTCAGCTGCCTTTTCCTAGAAGCAGCTGATATGAGGGAACAAGTTGCCCCCAGTATCTTGTTTACCTGTGGGTTTCCTTCTCCCTCCAAATCTCTGCCATATTGATCTTCACTGCCTTTTTAGCCCACCAGTGCCTTCACACAGCTGTTTTGAGCATCTTTTTTTTTTTTTTTTAAGATTTTATTTATTTATTCATGAGAGACAGAGAGAGAGAGAGAGAAGCAGAGGGAGAAGCAGGCACCCAAGGAGCAGGGAGCCTGATGCGGGACCCGATCCCAGGACCCCGAGATCATGACCTGAGCCGAAGGCAGACACTCAACCATCTGAGCCACCCAGGCGCCCCTGTTTTAAACATCTTGTCCAGCTTCTTTAGCTGTTCTCAGTGGGACAGTTGATCCACATCAACTCTTTTTGTTCAGCTATGGTTTTGCAAAAGGAAAAAAAAAGTTTAAATAAATTTAAAAGTAATTATAAAAATCTAACTCTTTGTAAAGCTTAAAAATAGCACTAAATCTTTACTTGGTAAAAATTTTTCTGTGTGAGGTGGAGATGATACAGACCAGGTGTATGAGGGGAAATGGCACAATTTGCCCTCCATTTTACAGTATTTCAAGAGAAGAAAATGTGCTTAAAGCATTCTCATTGTCAGAAAAAAAATACACTTATTTTGTTAGTCTCCTGCTTAAACATGATCTCTACAGGGAGGTTGTGTTGGGGGTTCCCAAAGCTACCCTTGGTTTAATGATTCACTAGGAGGGTTCACAGATCTCAGAAAAATCAGCAAATGCAAAGGTTCATGGGATGAAGTCTAGAGAAAACTGCCAGGTGCACCCTTCTAAGTCCTCTCCAGTGGAGTCAGGACACACCTGATTTCTCTAGCAACTTGTTGTGACAGCGTGTGTGAAATGTTGTGTGCCAGGGAAGCTGGTTGTCCAGGGTTTTGTTGGGAATCAGCACATAGGCACAAAGCCCCTACACACCCTCGGTTAGCAAAGCTCCATATGCCCACAAGGAAGCAGGTGTTCATTATAAATCACATTGTTAGCATAAATTGTCTGGACAAACTAGTACAGTGTGTACAGTTTGTCTAGTACTCTACTAGTAGACAAACTAGTACTCAAGACCTCAGGCATGCAGAGCCACTCTTGTCAGACAGAACATTCCAAGAGCTTAGTTTCCAGGTGTCAGCCAGGAACCAATCATGAAAACAGAGCTTTCTTGAGAATGTGCCAGGATTGAGCAACCCAGGCCTGCTAAAAGTTAATGCTTTTCCATGCAGAGTCCTAGTCTGACTAAACATGAAGAAGGAAGCACCCTGTTACTCTCTAGGCTCTCACCCTACAGTATGTTTCTTAATGGCACTTATCACTATCAGACCTTGAGCTATCTAATCGTTTGTTTATTTGACACGAATTCAATAACATGTATTTTAATTCTTATTTATTATCATCTTTTCTCCACTAGAATATGAGTTCCATGAGGCAGAGACTTTGTTCACTGTTGCATTCCCAGTGTCTAAAACAGTGCTTTGCCTATAGAAGGTACTTAACAGATATTTGTGGAATAAATGAATGAATGAAAAATATCACTTATGCAATTACTTAGGAATGCCAATAAAGTTGACTGGGTATAAATTATTGGGACATGCTGTTACCCCATGAATGACATTTTCTCATCTGTTTCTTTGTCTCTCCTGAACAGGTCTATAATTCAGCAGGCAGATCTTTCCCTCGAAGGTTTGTTTTGCCCTTACATGTCAGTTTGAATGACCCCGAAGGAGAGAACCTCAGCCCATTGTCCTATTCTTCAGCTAGTGCTGTGAAACAAGCTGATGGAAAGGTATGATATGAAAGGACATTAGACGAAGACTTTGATTTTTAGTCATGTTACTTCATTCCTTGGCTGTTCTCCACAATGTTTTGTGCCTGATAAGTCTGATAACATTCAGCTGAGCAGGGTAAGGTCACAATAATTGCAGAATTCTGTCCTTTTTGTGTTTTGAAACAGATAGGTACAGTTTTCTAATGGTTGTGAAATGCCTAAGTTTTTGAGATTGTTATTGATCATATCTCCACCTTTTAGATAATTTGCACTTACCATGTTATTGTTTAGCTGTCAGTGTTTTAGCTTTAGTAGAATAAAAAGCCCACTTCCACCTCTTATGCCATTTGACAGCTTCATCACAAAACCTGATATATTTTTTTTTTTTTTGAGAAAGAGAGAGAGAGAGAGTGTGCTTGTGCAAGTGGGGGGAGGGTGCAGAGGGAATCTTTTTTTAAAAAAAAATTAACATATACTGTATTATTAGTTTCAGAGGTAGAGTTCAGTGACTCATCTGTTGCATATAACACCCAGTGCTCATTACATCACGTGCCCTCCTTAATGCCCATTACCCAGTTACCCCAACCCCCCACCCACCTCCCCTCCAGCAACCCTGTTTGTTCCCTATAATTAAGAGACTCTTATGGTTTGTCTCCCTCTCTGATTTCATCTTATTTTATTTTTCCTTCCCTTCCCCTATGATCCTCTGTTTTGTTTCTTAAATTCCACATATGAGTGAAATCATATGGTAATTGTCTTTGTCTGGCTGACTTATTTCATTTAGCCTAATACCCTCTAGTTCTATCCAAGTCATTGCAAATGGCAAGATTTCATTCTTTTTGATGGCTGAGTAATATTCTCCCCCCCACCCCGCCGTGTGTGTGTGTGTGTGAGTGTATACACTACATCTTCTTTATCCATTCATCCATTCACCTGTTGATGGACATCTGGGCTCTTTCCATATTTTGGCTATTATGGACATTGCTGCTATAAACACTGGGCTGCAGGTGCCCCTTTGAATCACTATGTTTGTATCCTTTGGATAAATACCTAGTAGTGCAATTGCTGGGTTGTAGGGTAAGCTCTATTTTTAACTTTTTGAGGAAATTCCATACTGTTTTTCAGAGTGGTTGTACCAGTTGGCATTCCCACCAACAGTGTAAGAGGGTTCCCCTTGGAGAGAGAGAATCTTAAGCAGGCTCCACACTCATTGCAGAGCCTGACACGGGGCTCAGTCATACAACCCTGAGATCATGACTGGAGCCAAAATCAAGAGTCAGATGCTTAACTGACTGAGCCACCCAGGTGCCCCCAAACCTGATCATCTTTTATGCATTCATACATATGATGGAAAGAGGAACAATGGAAAAAAGTGACTTAGAGTCTCAGTCCCCAAGCCCTGTCACAAACTCCTAGCACCCTCACTGACCTACACTGAATAAGTGTGCAAGTAAACAATTACTGCATATCTTTTTGGAACCTCTTTTAGATTTGGTGCTCTTATGAAAATCTACATCCTGAGGATCTAGAGGAGGAAGGAGGTGTTGAATTTCCCCAGATCAACTATGGCCAATTCAGTGGCAAAAAGTATCGTTTCTTCTATGGTTGTGGCTTTCGGCATTTGGTGGGGGATTCTCTGATCAAGGTTGATGTGGTGAATAAGACACTGACGGTAATGCAAATCTTTTTCTCTTTCTGAACTCTTTTTTAAAAAATATTTTATTTGAGAGAGACAGAGAGCATGAGCGGGCTGGGGAGGGGCAGAGGACAGGGAGAAGAAGACTCCCCACTGAGCAGAGAGCCCTTCACTGGGCTTGATCCCAGGACCCTGAGATCATGACCTGAGCTCAAGGCAGATGCTTAACTGACTGAGCCACCCAGGTGCCCCTCCCTTTCTGAACTCTTAAATGACTTGTTCTGCACTTTGAATTAGTTTCTGTTTTGTTAAAGTAGCTCTTGAGATCCTTTAATATTTAGGCAGCTCAGCCATTTACTTTTATTAAGTTTGAGAACCATGGTATCACCTAGGCTAGGGGTATATTCTGTCTAGGAAATCTTAAATGAATCACAAGCCCAGAAAAACAAGTCTCTGCATGATCTTATTTTTAGACAAATAATGGGGTTCAGGTTGTTGGGACATTTATATTTCAGGTTGATGGGAAATTGTACAAAGTGTGTTTGATGATGATGGAGTCTGCAGCTGCAAAATCACCCCCCACCCCACCCATTCAACTCAGTGAGCCTGATTCTTTTACTGTTGGAATATTGTATTAGACAGCCAAATTCATGCTGGGAATGACAAAAGCTATAGAAGGCTTCCTGCTCATAACTAGCCTTCTATCAAATACTTTTTTTGGGACTTCTAGATTTGGAGAGAAGATGGCTTTTACCCCTCAGAACCAGTGTTTGTTCCAGCACCAGGAGCCAGTGAAGAAGATGGTGGGGTTATTCTCTCTGCAGTGATCACCCCTGACCAGGTAAATGTATCTCCTCATCACTAGTTAAAAAGAGAAGTAGCAATGAGCCTTTTGAGGATTATATTCAGTGATGCTATCAATAGTTTTTGATTCCAATACAGCACTTTCTCCCTTGTCTTCCTCTCCTCATATGTACATACCCTTTTATCATAATCCATGCCTTATTATTACTTTAACGTTCTATTTATAGAATCATCCTCATAATTTACATTTGCATAGGAATTCATTTACAAACGACTTTCACACATGTCACCTTATTTACTCATCAGAACAGCTTTGTTGGATACCATTTTACACACGTGGAATTTGTAACTTAGAGTTGAGAGAGTTTGTGTCAGATCATAGTAGTAAAGCCCGTGTTTAAATCTGTCTTCTGACGTCTAGTCTGATGTTCATGCCACCAACTGTGCTGCCAGTTTCATCCGAGTGCCCCAAAAGTCTAATGTGGTGAGCCCTAGTGTCTCAATCATGTTGATGTCTTAACTTCTTGTCTAAGGCCGTCTTGTGGCAAATAGGTTGAGTACCAGCTTTGACCAGTTATTAGTGGGTGCCTGGGATGTAGGATTCTGGGGCTTTTTATTTTATCTTATATTTAAAAGATTTTGTTTATTTGACAGAGAGAGACACACAGAGAGAGGGAACACAAGCAGGGGGAGTGGGAGAGGGAGAAGCAGGCTTCCCGCAGAGCAGGGAGCCTGATGTGGGACTCGATCCCAGGACCCCGGGATCATGACCTGAGCTGAAGGCAGATGCTTAACAACTGAGCCACCCAGGCGTCGCCTGAGGCTTTTTAAGGGTTTGGTGAGAAAAGTGCCGTGATCAATTACTAATATCTGCCATAGGCTTAGGAGGACTTTGTCCTCATACCATGTACTTGCCACTCATGTAATTACACCAGGGCAAATATCAATCTGCCTTGTAATGCTACCCTTTGTACAGCTCCAAAGTAACACAAAATGGAAACATTTCTAATTTGGAAGAAAAAAATTCTGTCTCTTAGGAGATTGAAAAGGGGCAGGTAAGGAGATCCTTAAACTCCAAGAGATCCTCTGAAGGTAATTGATACAAACAACTTAATTTCTTCAGTCTAGGTATGAACTTCTTCAGCCATAATGTCCTTCTCGGGCTCGTTCAGCCATTCAGCAAACATTTAGTGAATGGATGGATAGTCAAGCACTGTGCTAGGTGGTGAGGATAGATAGGAAGATGCGTAAGACATTATCAAAAGAATTTTCAGTATTGTCTTTCTGTTCTAGAATGAAAACAATTTTCTCCTAGTCTTGGATGCCAAGAACTTTGAAGAACTGGGCCGAGCAGAAGTACCTGTGCAAATGCCTTATGGGATCCATGGCACCTTTGTAACCATCTGATGGAGCAATTCGAAACACCTGGAAACTAGCTTTAAAATGAACATGCTCCGGGGCGCCTGGGTGGCTCAGTCGTTAAGCATCTGCCTTCGGCTCAGGTCATGATCCCAGGATCCTGGGATTGAGCCCCTCCTCAGGCTCCCTGCTCAGCGGGAAGCCTGCTTCTCCCTCTCGCACTCCCCCTGCTTGTGTTCCTGCTCTCGCTCTCTCTCTGTCAAATAAATAAATAAAATCTTTAAATAAATAAATAAATAAATAAATAAATAAATAAAAAATGAACATGCTCCGTACAAAAGGGAGAGCAAAAAGGGCACCTTCCCTTCCAAACCACAGACACCTGGTTTTAAAATTTCTATTAAAAACAGAATTCTTGAGATAATAATGGTTTTATAATTTTTTAGAGCTCTTTCTTAAAAACATTAAACAAGTGTTGATACAACCTTTTGAAGAGAGTTTTAAATTTATATTTACTAGATAGATCTTCCTCTAGATAATAAATATACGAGAAAGAAAAAGTAGAGCTAGGGGCACCTGGGTGGCTCAGTTGGTTAAGCGACTGCCTTCGGCTCAGGTCATGATCCTGGAGTCCCGGGATCGAGTCCCGCATCGGGCTCCCTGCTCTGCAGGGAGTCTGCTCCTCCCTCTGACCCTCCCCCCTCTCATGTGCTCTCTCTCTCTCTCATTCTCTCTGTCTCAAATAAATGAATAAAATCTTTAAAAAAAAAAAAAAAAAAGAAAGAAAAAGTAGAGCTGTGTCATTACCACCACCAGTTAGCGTGGGTGACGGAGGTTCTCACACTTGAGAGAAAAAATACAAATAATCGTAGATAGTAAAATATGAATATAGCTCTAAAAAGCACCTCGTTTTTCCCCGTCACAGCCTGCCTGTTAGCACGGGTTCTAGGGCTCACAGAGGACGGGAAGCAGCTATGTCATGCTTAGAGGCTTTCTTCCAAACTGTTTCTCTGCTGTCCACAGACGCCACAGTAGTTGAACCACCGACTGCCACCTTCTGCCCTGCCCCCAGCTCAGCCTTGGGAGGGTGTTGTTTTGAGGGACGTCACTAAAATCAGGCATTTCTTCTAATCTCCAGGTGTATAGTTCTCCAGAAATTGATGAGAAGTCAGTAGGTCTTCATTCAGTCGGGCAACAGGTGGCACTAGAGGCCATATAATCTCATTTCTAAACCCCCTCTCTCACCCCCAGTTTTACCAACAGCCCAAATCCCGCTACGTCTGTCACTTAGACCATACTCTTGCCAACACCTTCAAGATCTCTCTCTTTTTTTTAAAGATTTTATTTATTTATTTGAGAGAGAGAGAGAGAAACAGCATGAGAGGGGATAGGGTCAGAGGGAGAAGCAGGCTCTCCGCCGAGCCGGGAGCCCGATGTGGGACTCTATCCCAGGACTCCGGGATCATGACCTGAGCCGAAGGCAGTCGCTTAACCAACTGAGCCACCCAGGCGCCCCCACCTTCAAGATCTCTTGTTCCCTTTTCCTTCAGTTATACTTCCTCTCTCCACTTAACTCCAGCCTGGGGCCAGTTAAACTGTCCTCTCTCCCTCTGCATGTTGAATGTTGCTGGGGAAGCCTCCTAGATGTGTAGTTTGGGGCAACTGTGAACTCATGGTTCATGCACACCCCTGGACCAGCATAGCCAGTTTCTTCCCAGTTATCCTCAGGAGTTATTACAGACATCATAAACCTTGTCCTTTTCAGTGAAGTGTTCCCACAGGTACAAAAATGCCACAGGTAATGGTTTACATTGTGGCAATAAAGTGAAAGTTCTAAGTTTTGTGTCTGGCTTGATGAAACACAAAACAAAAGCAGTAGGTACCAGAATGACGAGAAGATGCCTAAATACGGCTAAGACAGCAGATGTGGGAGCTTCGAGGCTGAAGTCATTGTAAGAGAACGTAAATATATCTCACAGAAATCCTCAAAAAGGCATTGTACTCCCCCAGACAAGACATGGAAGATTGTTTTAGACCTTATCTGGATCTAAAGGGTGGAGGAGATTCTAGCTGACTTCTGTGAAGTATGCAAAGCTGATAACGTCTTTCCTCTATAAATTCCATCCTAATCACAGGGAGTGAAGTTCAAACATATAAAGGTTAGCGGTACAATCATAAGATTTTGACCCAAGGATGCCCAAATTCTTCTGTGGCTCTGTCATCTATGAGGTTCTTGAAGGAGAAGACAAAAAAGGATCAATGACGTTTTGTAATATGCCTATGCCTGGTAATCTAGTGCAGAGAGTTCTGGTAGAATTGAATGAGCATATGACTAAGTTTAAGCCTAAGCAGGGCTTCTTCCTCTCCCTAAGCCCAGCTTATCACTCAGCAGTGTCCAGAGACTCAAGGAAAGGGAGTATGTGGTGCATAGGGAAGGGGTAAAGGGACTAGGGCTTCCCCCTTGTGACTTTCTCTTAACTAATTACATCTGCAAAGACCCTATTCCAAATAAAGTCATATTTTGAGGTACTGAGGGGCTCAACATTAATATTGGGGGGACATGGTTGAATCCGTAACAGGATCACTGAGGGTAAATTTGGTGAGTACCCTTAATAAAAACATTTAGAGAAAGAGCTCTGCAAATGTAATGCCATGTTCTACTAAAGTAATTATAGCAATTTCTCAGAAATTCCTTCGGCTTTGTATTTTGATTCTTAAGACTTCGTTCGGAATGAGCCAAGTATTTTATCCCCGATGTGGTCAATGCCCAGGAAATACTGTTTTATTGTAAGTGGTCTTGGATGAGTAATTCACTTATCTGGGCCCGTGTTTTCCTATCTGTGAGAGGACTGAACTAGATAATGTCTATCTCATATGTCTCCGAAGTTTATCCTTCTTTGGCATTTTTTTACAGCCCAACAGGGAAGAGAATAAAAATATTTGAAAATGTGTTAATGTTTGCTACATGACAATAATTTCATGCAGAACAGAGTATGTAGCCGGAGACAGGAGACATTTGAGAGAAATCAACATTTGGGGCCCGAATGCCTGCCACTCTCATGATTTAGTCTATCCTTCCCAGTACCTGGAACCCTGCCAGCCTCATGGTTAGCTATTCAGTACGTATTTAGTGAGGAAATGAATGATGAAGAGAGGTGACATAATACTGGGAACTGCAAGTAGTGTGGATACTCCTTATAGATAGGTGTGAGGAAACAAGATCCGTTCACTCTGGAGGTGACAGGGAATCTCTAATGTGTGTGTGTTCACGGCTGCATGTGTTCACACTGTGATAAATGGCTTCATGTGTGTGGATGAGAAGGAGAGCTTGAGAATTTCCCTTAAGAAGAAGAATCTTGGGCGCCTGGGTGGCTCAGTTGGTTAAGCGACTGCCTTCAGCTCAGGTCATGATCCTGGAGTCCCGGGATCGAGTCCCGCATGGGGCTCCCTGCTCGGCAGGGAGTCTGCTTCGTCCTCTGACCCTATCCCCTCTCATGTGTTCTCTCTCTCTCTCAAATAAATAAAATCTTAAAAAAAAAAAAAAGAAGAAGAAGAATCTTTACAAACAGTCCAAAGGTAGTATCATTTCCGAAAGCCAAGTGCTCCCACACGTGCCCTGGAATTCCCGCTCCCTTTATGCTATAAGTGGATTGGCCCTGGGGCTCCTCTCACAGTAACCAGCCAGGGGAGGTTACCCTAACTAGGGCTTTCTGGAAGGGAGTGGCAGGAGCATCTCAAAGAGGTCCCTCCAGTACCCAAAGTGTGCCCCGGCTGACCCTAATGGCCCGACTTGACCAAGGGCTGACCAGTCAGTATAACGAAAGACACTAAGGTCCTACCCACCTTTTCCGACCGACGCTGGGAGGTTTGCTTCGCTTAGCCCAACTCTGCTCGCCCAGAGACTCCCCGTACCGGACGCTTTACTGCCTCCAGACCAGCGGAGGGAGCCAGTCGCAGCGCGGGGTGGAGCGCGCGTCCCAGCGCGCCGGCCGCACTGCGCAGACGCGGGACGCGCCGTCTTCCGGCCCCCGCGCCAGCCGAGTGCGCAGGCGAGGCGATGAGCGTGGCGGGCGCCGGCCGGGGCTGTCGCCGCCGGGCGCGCGTGTCCCGCCTCGTCTCCTTCAGCGCGACCCACCGACTCCACAGGTGGGGGCGGCGCCCACAGTGCCCACGGTGGGGGGGCGGGGCCCGGTGCGGAGCGCAGCTGGGAGAGCCGACGCGCGCCCCCGGCCGCCCTGGCGCCGCGCTGACGGTGACAGCTGGAGTCGACCAGAGGAGGCTGTGGGGCGCTGTAGGGCGCGGTGGCAAACGGAGCCGAGCGGAGGGCACGGCCCTGCGTGCGGAACCCGAAGGCTAAGGTTCCCCCGCGTCTCGGAGTCCAGTCCCCTGGAGCAGCTTCCGGGGAGCGCACGTTTCCTAGTGGAGCGCGAAGGGTCGCAGTGGCGCCCAGAGCAGTTCGCCTGGCCCGGCTGACACGGTGTCAGACACGTGGTGAACTCTCGGCAAGTGTGAGCTGCTGTGAGGTGTCAGGAGCGCTAGCCACCATCTCCGGGACCGCCCCAGCAACCCAGGTTTATGCCCTTCTTAGCACAGGTGTCACGAACCCAGGCGCTCCCTTCCTAGGGCAGCCCTGAGAGCAAGCCGCACAGCCGGGATTTGAACCCGGAGCGTGCAGGCTGCTTGACTGCATGAGGAGGTGATGTTGAGGAGAGTTTTGCCTCTCATTAGCAAGCTCCGCTCTCAGCGTACGTTTCCCTGTCCGTAGAGTGAGGATAGTAATTTCTTTTTTTTTTTTTATTTTAAAGATTTTATTTATTTATTTATTTGAGAGAGAGAGAGAGAGAGAGAGCGCAAGAGGGGGGAGGGGCAGAGGGAGAAGCAGACCCCCCGCCAAGCAGGGAGCCCCACGCGGGACTCGATCCAGGGGCTCCAGGATCATGACCTGAGCCGAAGGCAGTCGCTTAACCGACTGAGCCACCCAGGCGCCCGAGGATAATAATTTCTTTTTTTTAAAGATTTTATTTATTTATTTGAGAGAGAGAGAGTGAGAGAGAGAGCGCAAGAGGGGGTAGGGTCAGAGGGAGAAGCAGACTCCCTGCCGAGCAGGGAGCCCGACGCGGGACTCGATCCCGGGACTCCAGGATCATGACCTGAGCCGAAGGCAGTCGCTTAACCGACTGAGCCACCCAGGCGCCCGAGGATAATAATTTCTAACAAGAGTCATCCATTCATTCACTGGGCAGGTATTTGTGACCAGCGTGTCAGGTCTTGTACTAGGTGACAGGGATGCGGCAGCGATCAACACGTACCTGTCCCCGCCTTGTGTGCGGAGTGCACGATCTGGCCAATTTTGTGGAGGGTACAGTGGGATAATTTTGTGCCAAAGCTTTGTGAATCGTAGCATTCTCAATGTACGTGGATGAGGGTGGGGCGGGGGAGAAGAAAGAGAATCTCAGAAAGGAAGGGGTGGTATAATAGGACGTTCACACATAGAAGGCCTCATTGAAGATGCATAGTCGATTGGACAGCTATAGATGTAAAAATTCATTAAGAAAACTGTTTTCTGCCCAGAATACAGCTGAGCATTGTAATTGTAAATTTTTACTTAATTTGAATACTGCTGTATGGATGGGTGAAGTCAGTGGGCAATAATTCTGGCATAATAATGCGAGATTGTTAAAGAGGAGACGTAGTAGGTCATGTAATTATTTTTCAGGAGAAATGGGATTTTTAAGCCACTTGAAGACAGGCGTCTTCTTTTATCATTGTAAGTCCTTGCTTCATTCAAGCCAGGCCTCCTATGTAATGGGTACCCAGTAAATGTTTGTTGAGTTGAAAAATAGAAGGGCCTTGAGCAGATCAGTTGGAATCTTGCTGTGGAACAAGGGTGTGGACTTTGTTCACACTCATTTGTACATTACAGTAGCCTAATTAAGGGGCATACACTGGTTCCTGACAGAAAGTGGAATAATGAAATCAAGTTGATTTATGACTCCCATTTGGTGAGCTAAGATAATAAATTGTGAAGCTTTTCAAAGGCTAGAGCAAATAATAAATGTAGGGAACAGAGAAGGTGTCTGAACTTGTGTCATGTTATTTTATTTATTTATTTATTTTTTTGTCAGCAAATCTCTGAGTAATGAAGAAAACTTGAAACTGTTTGGGAAATGCAACAATCTAAATGGCCATGGGCACAATTATAAAGGTGAGAGAAAAACTGATGAAATTTTAGCCCTTTCAATAAGGGTGAAAGTGTGATCAGCAAATACAGTCTGAACAAGTAAGAAACTTTATGGACAAAGCATATTTGAGCCTTGAATGAGAAGTTACATGGAAGTTCAGAATGAAAAAAATCCGTTGCCTTGGTTGGATGTGTCTTAAATTTTACCTTGCAAATATCTGCTCTGTTAGAGATAACAAATGGTTTAAACAATTTTTTTTTGCCTTGGCGTTAGTGTGCATAATGAGATTCTTTTGGCACCTGCTTCCTTCTAATTAGGTATTTCCGAGGCTAATGTTAAAATTAGATCTTCTTAGAAACATTAGATTGTATTCTTTGTGTAAATAATGACTGACAAAAGGGAGATAGTGACTAGGAATATGCTGTATGCCGGGAAAATAGGTTGAGTCTAAAACTGCCTGCAGTGTTCCAAGAAAATAATTTATGTGAGTGTAGGAGACTTGATTCTTTGAGATAAAGCTGATATCTCAAAAAGCCCTGTGAGCATAGAGTATCAACAGCATATAGTTGGGTAGAGTAAAAAGATTCAAAAGGTGTCAAAAGATCAGAATTTCTAGTTTAGTTACCACCTTTTACTTGATCTATGATATTTGTCACTTTTAGTTTGCTCACATATCACATAATACCTAATGGTGTTTGTACGGAGCTGAAAAATATACATAAAAGTCACTAATTTGTAAAACACTCTGATCATCATTTTTCAAATGCTTATACAAGCAGTTCTTTAATTTACAAAATATTACCATAAACTGTATATGTTCGTGTGATTGTAGGGATCAGAGTTTTAGGCCCAGTAGTGGTTTTGCTTGCTGAGAAAGGTGCTGCCCAGCGTTGGGCCAACTTGGTGTGTAGCTGGATGTCTTCCTTACGTTCTACTTTTTCAGGTGGTGATCGAGCAGCATCTCAATCCTACCTAGTGGACATTCCTACCTAGTGCATCAATATCATAAGCTGAATGCACACCCTTTCTGGCTCTGGCTGGGATCCTCTGCTTAGCCAAAGCTCCTGCTGAGCTTCTCTGTCTTGGCCGAGTCTTGCTTTGGTTGAGAAAAAGATCTTAACTAAAAGAACAGCTGTTTGAGGGAAAACATAAATAGAGCTTTGCAGGATAGAGACCTAACAATTTATGATGTTAACTTATGCTTGGGTGTTATCTGTTGAAAGTCATGTGGTTTTTTTGGTATTCTGTTTTCTTTCCCATAGTTGTGGTGACGGTGCATGGAGAGGTACGTGCTGAAAAGATCTGTGTGATTTGTCCAAATTGCTGGGCCCTCTCAGCCAACACGATGGATTCTGTGTTGAAAAATTCTGTTCAAATCAATATTGCTTCATTGTTGTCCATTGTGTATGGTGAGCTGCTGCCATTCTAGGCCTTTCCTCTCCCAAAGGGTTATCTTTAATCTGCTCTATGTGGACAGGTAGAAGAGCAGTACCATGAAAGGGGTTCCTGGAGCACCTGGTGTTTCCATAATGAGATCGATGAGTGTCCCGGGGATGAAGGCAGACATGGGCACGATTTCTGCACATTGTACAGCCTTTAATAATTTAACAGAGGTTTAAATATGAAGAGCATATTATAGTAACATTCACCTTTGTTTATTCTTTAGATTGATCCTGTTACAGGAATGGTTATGAATTTGACTGACCTCAAAGAGTATATAGAGGTAATGTCATGTTGGATGCTTATTACGTACTGTCCTCTAAGTGTATTTGGTGGCCCCCTTATCACTTCCCCAACCAAGTATCTCCAGAGGTTCCATGACCTTGTGAGTGGAATTGGGTGTGGGAGTAGGGAAGTAGTTGGAGGAACTACTCTCATGTTTTTCTAAAGGTGTTTGGTGATTTAAGGGAAATAAGTCACAGTTGTATTGCAGTGACGGGAATAACCTTAACAGGCTCGTCTTTCTTGTATTTCTTGCTGGTGTATCCTGATTTCCTCCATTTAACAGATTCTGCCTTTCTTTCAAGACACAGTTTTCTCCTTGAGGCTTTCTTTTCCTTCTCTGGATTTTCCTTATGCCTTTGATCATAGATTTTTAACACTACCCTGTGTTATTCATTCTAATTTTATCATAAACTCACTGAGGCAGTTCACCATAGGGATAACACAGAAGAAGGAGTTCAATCAAGGACTTGCTGACTGTATCATTATAGAAATCCTGCATTGTCAGAGACCTTAGAGATTATCTAAACCAACTTTTTCATTCCATAGATTAAGATTGAGAGAGGCCAAACAGTTCACGGACTTGCCTTAGGTTGTGTGGTTAGTCTTTTACAGAATTGGGAGTGGACTTCCTTCTATCCAGCTTTGTTATTATTCCATCATTTTACCTGTTCAGTTCTTCACTTAAACTCTGCTTTTTCTTTTTTTTAAGATTTTATTTTATTTAACAGAGAGATCACGCACACGTACAAGCGGGGGAGCGGCAGAGGGAGAAGCAGACTCCCCTGCTAAGGAGGGCTTGATCTCAGAACCCTAGGATCATGACCTGAGCCAAAAGCAGATGCTTAACTGACTGAGCCACCCAGGCGCCCCCTCTGCTCCTTACTCTTGTTCTAGAATCTGACATTTGTCTCATAAAAATGCTATTAATGATCATTACTGCTTCCGCAGTACTTATCATCCATATATTCAGCAAGTTCGCCCGCTCTGCATCAGTCTTCGAGCTAAGTACCAGGAGTACACAGATGAGTGTGACATAGCCCTTACCCACAGAGTGCTCATGTTACTTTTTTAGGAGGCAGACGATAATAAGTGCTCAGGAAGTTTCAACTGAATAAATGAATAAGAGGGGTGCCTGGGTCACTCGGTTGGGCAGCTGACTCTTGATTTCAGCTCAGGTCATGGTCTCGGGGTCCTGGGATCAGCCCTGAATTGGATTCTCTGCGCAGTGGGCAGTCTGCCTCAGGATTCTCTCTCTCCCTCTGCCTCTCCTCCCACGCGTGCATGCGTGCTTTCTCTCATAAATAAATAAATCTTCAGAAAAGAAAAGAATAATCAGTGAATGAACAGATAGCAGTGTGTTTTAAGTACTTTAGGAAGCTATAAAGACAGAATTTTTGCATTTATTGGGGACATAAAATATATATAAACGGAGTGCTGTACAATCCAAGACAAGAGTATAGGAAATATGAGGCATCCCATGCGTGCATATGACCACGTGCTAAAGGAGAGGTTCTGTGTAGAGAACTCTTCCCCACTTTTTGTACCTGATGGACACCATGCAGTCCAATCAGTAACAGTGGCTCATCGTGGCTTATAGAGTAAAGTCAGAGAGGCCTGTGGAAGAAGCTTCAAAACAAAAGTTGGGACCTGAACTGGAATTGAAGAGAAAACAGGTATTTTCTTGATATCCATGTTGGAACTGCCCTTCATTTGCTCTGTTTTAAAGGCTATTTGGTTTAAGGCTTAACTCTTTTTATATGGTTCTGGTTTTGCTCAAAAAATGATTATTATTAATGTACTCTTCTGAGAACCATACCATTGGGAAATTAGATTGTTTCACAAGTGCTTAGATTTTGTACACTAGCTAAAAGTAAAAAGAAAGAATAAGGCAATTACTGTTCTTGCCACTGACAAGGGAAAACATTATGTTAATATATACACGTATTAGGAAGCAATGGTCTTCACATATTTATATATTTTTTCTCCTCTAAGAGTCCAAGATCATTCTTAAATTACTCCTCATAGCAGAAATTTAGAACTACTTACATAATTTCACTCTTAGTCTGCTTTGTAAAATGTAGTACTCACTGGATCCTTCTCCTAATGACATTGTGGTGTTGGGCCGAAGAGAAGACTGTATGGAGAAGTATTTTTGGGATTAGTATTTTTGGTAAGTTTATGGACAGAATTCAAGAAGCGTTAAATTCAGTTCTGAACCGCAATGGCTGGTTACAAGAAAGCTCCAGTGAATTCTCTACTTTTAGGTTTCTTACCTCTTTGCATTTAGTAATGAGGAGAACCAGTCATTATGGAGATCTGGGCTTGCTTTATTTTTCAACCTTAAGCGTTGCTTTGTGAGACATGGACGGAGTACTTACAAGTACTGAGTTAGCGGCTAACTGATGAGTTATGGTTTAGAAGCAAAGATAGAACACTTTGGAATTTGAGTCCTAAATGGAATGAGTGGTGTTTTTCCTTTGTTTTATCTATAGGAGGCAATTATGAAGCCCCTTGACCATAAGAATTTGGATCTGGATGTGCCATACTTTGCAGATGTTGTAAGGTGAGTAGAGAGTAAGAAAGAAGAATTGCTGTCAACATTTTATCTGACCACTGCGTGATTTCTGAAGTTTTGTTTTAACATTATCTTTTAAATCTAGAATTTCTGTTCTCTATCAATATCAAAAATGAAATTTTGTTTATTTGCCTTTGATCTTCTTTCCTTTTTTTTCTACAGCACGACAGAAAATGTAGCTGTATATATCTGGGAAAACCTCCAGAAATTTCTTCCTCTGGGAGTTCTTTATAAAGTAAAAGTGTATGAAACTGACAATAATATCGTTGTCTATAAAGGAGAATAGCTTTTAGGGGTTAATACTGTAGAAAGACTAATTTCTTTCCATATTTGAAAAAGGTCTTTATCCCCTGGGACTATTAAGAAGTCGTCACATACTTGTTATGCCTCCACATTGTGTTCCGGAGTGCCCAATTGATTGAAATTGTTGAGTGTAAAACCTGTTGTGAATTCAAATCTATCTTAAAACCAAACTTGTAAAACATCCTGAGTATCATTTAGAGAGTCTTTTATTTATAGATTAAAAATCACTTCATTTTCAGTAAAATGTTGTGGTGTGGAATTTAAAAGTAAAATAAATCAATTTTTGTTTTTCAGTTATCTCATTTTTAGTATTCATTTTTTTCTTGGTATAATATGAATGGAAAAAGTGTTTATAAGACATCGTAGGTGATACTTAAAAAAACAAAACTACAGGTGACCACAGAACATATACTTCTTCCTTGATTACTTCTCAGGTATGTAGGGACACAAGTTTATTCAGTGAAAATGAGACACACAAATCACATTGGTGATGCATTGTAGGTGGATGTACAAGGATTGATGAAAATATCGTTTAGTGCACGTTGTTCAATGCAGTTTTGCATGTCTTACTGAACTATGAGTTGCTAGTGAGGATCAGCATGTTCACTGAACATTTGTTGGAGTATCATTATACTATTATGTATATTTGTCCATGTTTCCAGACCTTATGGTCACCTGAACAGTTTTAATTCAGATAACTGAAGAATAATCACATAATAATCATTAAACTTAACACCTGCTTAAGTTGAACTGTATTCTTGGCGTCTGGTTTCTTTTCTTCATGACTAAATCTGCAAGAATGTATTTGCTTGCTTTGCACAAAGAACTGTTCTCTCTTGTATTCTCATTTGTATCCTAAACTTTTTTTTTTTTTTTAAGATTTTATTTATTTATTTGAGAGAGAGAGAGAGAGAGCACATGAGACAGGGGGAGGGTCAGAGGGAGAAGCAGACTCCCTGCTGAGCAGGGAGCCCGATGTGGGACTCGATCCCGGGACTCCAGGATCATGACCTGAGCCGAAGGCAGTCGCTTAACCAACTGAGCCACCCAGGCGCCCCTGTATCCTAAACTTCTTAAAGGTAGGGTTTTATTTTTCTCTCCACACAGCAACTAGTACACAATAGATTCTCAGAATGTTGCCGCCTGAAAATAGTAAAAAGACTATGCAGTTATTGCTATACTAGAAAAATTTTAAAAGGAGTACACTTTTATTCTGGAGAGTTAGAAACCACAGGGATTTTATAAATTTCGATAATCAATGCCCACTTAATTAAATTTGAATGTGTTTTAGTTACCAGACACAATTTTTGTTATGTATGCTTGTATTCTGTATTGATTACTTGAAAGACAGGATTTTTAATTCCCACAGATACCATGCAAGGTGGATATTATTCCCATTTTGCAGATGAGAAAATTAAAATTCAGTGAGTTTAAGCGGCTTACCTAGGATCACTCAGCAAATAAATAGCAAACTGAGTGTATGACACTCAGAGTTTGTCTGACTCCTGAACACAGACTCTAAAATATATAATAAATAAAATATATAATGTATTTGAGGATTTTTTAAAATAGATCTAATTTTGTAGATCTGATACCACATTAGAAAAACATTTTTCACAGTAGCATGGGTACTCCAGATATTTGCTGTTCATGAGTTGCTTCAAGAGAACCTTTTTTTTTTTTTGCTCTCCTTAAAAAAGTGAGAAGTCTGTCTGTCTATCTGTCAGATTGAATGGGTGAGTAAAGGAGGGCAGGACCAAAGATAGTATGTAGGTGATTTTCTTATGTCTTCCTAGAACCTGCTGTCAGAGACCCTATTGAGCTGTATTGTAATTGTTGCTTTACCTTTTTGTGTTCTTACTGCCCTGAATTCCTTGTGAGCAAAGTCTTTATTCTAAGCAGAGTATCTGGTAAATAGCGCTCGGTAATTTTGTTGTTGATTAAATATATGAATGGCATATTGGTAGAAACTATTGAAATTTTGTAGTGCCCTATACATAATGGGCACTTGGTAAATGTTTCTAGAATCGAATAATGTGAGAGTTTCGAGGCTTGAATTCTGGTCCTCGTACTGTTACTATTCAGGTGTGTCCTTCTCCTCTTAGAGCCTCAGTCTCTTTACCTGTAAAATGAATGCTTGAAACTGATGCTTTATGAAGTTGCTTCTGCCTATTTTCAGATTTTATATCTCTGTGATTTTATTTTATTATTTTTTAAAAGATTTTATTTATTTATTTGACAGAGAGAGTGCACACAAAAGCAGGGGGAGTGGCAGGCAGGGGGAGAAGCAGGCTCCCTGCTGAGCAGGGAGTTCAGTCCCAGGACCCTGGGATCATGACCTGAGCCAAAGGCAGATGCTTAACCACCTGAGCCGCCCAGGCATCCCTATCTCTGTGATTTTAAATACCAAAGGAGTACATATTAAATTAGACAAGGAAAAAGATTATCATGAGGTGATAAGTTTTGGAAAAACTAGGTAGAGGAGGTTAGTCCTGAATGGTCCTTGAAGTGATGGGGTAGGGAGGGTGGCCTTTGGAATTCAGGAGAAAGGAGGGAATATGTACTGAACAGATACACTTCCATTAGTGAAGATGCTGGTGGGAATGGACCAAGCGTATTTGGGATAGAGCGAATAGATTAATCTCAATAGAAGGGTGATCAGATGTGAGTGTGGAAGGGGGAGCTAGCTTGGAGATACAGGATGGGGACAGCCTGGGGGCCTGGAATATCAATTTAGTTTTTATCCTTTGAGAAATAGGGAGCTGTTGAAGTTTTTCTGTTTGCTTTTTAAGGAAAATCACCAGCTGGACACAGGAAAGGAAGGAAACCAGTTGCAAAGCCAATGTGGGGATCCAGACATGAGGTGATGGTGGCCAGGAGCTGGTGGAGCAGGGGCAATGGAGCGGCAGGGAAGGAGGGCAGACCTAACATGATGGGGCACCTGCTGTGGCCTCAGGCATTTTGCTCAGTACTTTCTATGTTACCTCAGGTTATCCTAAGGACCACCCTGCAAGGGTAGTGTGCTGGTTATCTACCACTACATAACAAATTACCCCAAAATAGTGGCTCGAAACTGTACGTTTATCATTATTATAGCAGTTTGAATGTGTGAGAAGTCTGGATGTGTCCCCGCTGGGACCTCTGGCTGAGGGTCGCTGACGGGTTGCAGTCATCTCAAGGCTGGATTACGAAGGGTCAGCTTCCAGCTCACTAAAAGGGTTGTTGGCAGGATTCAGTTCCTCATGGGGTTGTTGGTCTGAGTCCTCAATTTCTCCCTCCCTTTCTTGCCATGGGGGCCCCTGCCTAGAGCAGCTTATGACAGGGCAGCTTGCTTCCTCAGCATGAGCAGGTGAGAGGGGAGGGAGAGAGAGAGTGCCAGTGAGCGAGCACATGGCCCTGCATGGTGGAGGTCACAGTCTTGTGACCTAATCACATTTCTAGATTTTCCTTAGAAGCAAGTCTCTAAAACCACGCACACTCGAGGGAGGGGATTGCACATACATTCTAGTGTGCAAAGTGTGACGAGGAGAACGGCAGGAGAGGAGGCTGGGGAGGTCAGTGGGGGGAGGGGAGGCCTGTCATGCCCTTCTTGATGCCCGGAATAAAACACATTTCCTTTTGTGGGAGAGAAATATTCGAGCAGTAGTGGTTGTTTCCAATGGGTGTGGTGGGTTTTGTGGGTAGACATACACAGATCTTTAAAGCATGATTCTTGAAATTAAAACCAACTCTAAGGTAAGAAGTTGAGAAAAATTATATTGACCATATCACTATGGACAGAATGACCAGAACTCAACTGTCATTTATATGGCCTGAATTGATGTAATCATTACCAGTGGGTTATAAAAATGGCCAGAATATGATCAGCTATGTATATGCAGCCACTCATAGCCTAGATCTATGGTGAGTGTCTGTTTCGTTTTTTTTTTTTTAACTCCAAACTTTTACATTCCTCCTGGAAATAGAATTATTTTAAAGATGGGAAACAGATTGTGCTCCTTTTGCTTTTGTTTGGTCTGGGATATTTCTAGCCTCCCTTGCACATAGAAATATCATTGTTAGTTTCACACAATTTAACTTTATAGCAAGATTCTGTTGAAAGACACTTTTGGAAACTGTCCCAGATAAACACTCTGTCCACATAGCTGCAGAGGGAACTGCTATCACCACAAATAAAAAGTTGGGGAGGGTGGTCTTTCCACTGGAAGGATTTTCAAAGCAGCAGTTAGGCTTTCAAGTAGCTCATCAGTCAGTTTGCTTCCTTCAGAATCTATCCACCCAATCCCACTGGCATTCTGTCATCATAGAGACAGGAGTATTAATCATTAAAAAAAAAAAAGAACTAAAGCACTGAACTTTCCTCCCTCCCTCCCTCCCTCCCTCCCTCCCTTCCTTCCTTCCTTCCTTCCTTCCAACATCCCAGGCTTGTATTCTTCAAAATGCCCAGGAAACAAGTCCTCAGTATGTCAGCCCAAGTTCACCTTCAGGCAGTCAGTTTATTAGTGAAAATTCCCAATTTAGTATAAGTATGAACTCAGTTTAAAAACCTTTTTCACTTTTCGCAAATATCTTAATAAATACAAGCACTGGCTGATGACAGCCTGAAGAAATAGAAGGGCTAGTGTTGTCCTTCATCTTTTAAAGGTTTAATTTGCCTGCAGGGATAACCATAGGTGGGTAGTGAGGTGTCTCATGGGCATCTCAAAGTTAACATTTCCAAAAGTGCATTTCCGATTCCTCCTTCAGAATTTATTCTTCCACCAGTCTTCCCTAAAAATGCCGCCACCATCCACTCATTTTTTTTTCAAGCCAGAAATCTGGGAGTTGTCCTGGATTCCTGTCACTTCTAATCTATCAGAAAGTTCTACCAGTTCTACCTCTAAAATATGCATGATTTTTGTCTCTCCATTTCCAGGGCCACTGCCCCAGGCCAAACCGCCACCATTTCTTGCCTGGATTATTGACATGGCCTCTTAGCTGGTCTCCTGCTTGCACTTTGGTTCTTTTCCATACTTCTTTAGTTCTCCCTTCTCTCCTGTTACCCCTTGAAAGCTTCCTCTTGATTTTAAAATGAACTCAAACTTTATGCTTCATATGACCCAGCCACTGAGCAGCTGGTCACACTGGCCTTTTCTCAAGTCCTAAGGCACACCAATTTCATTCCTGCCTCAAGATCTTTGTATTTTCTGCCTTTCTGCCTGGAATTCTGCCCCTTAACCCCCACCTCCCACCTCTTCATAAAACCAGTCATTCTTCAGATCCCAGCCTAAAGGTCCCCCTCTTGCAGAAGCCTTCCT